AAAAGGTATTAATTTATTAACTCTTTCAAAAGTACATAAAAATGGTTGCCATCAGGGGTGTACATGTAGATTTGTTAAATACACCTTGTGCACCACTTAGGAACCAAATCTAGAACCCGACACTTGAAATTTTTGCTCTGTTACAATCGTACCCTGTTACAATTGACACCACTCTCCCCTACTGTTCATTACCTAGCTTTAATGTCCGATTAAATTTCTTTTTTACGGTTTTGAAACAATGCTAGTTATGAATGGTCGTACAGTTTTGTATTCAAGGTTTTATAACCATACTAGTTGTAAACGGTTTCAAACCGGTAAAGGAAAAGAAATATTTTTTTACCGTAAACTTTATGGTTAGTTGGATGGACAGCCTGTCTGCCGCCTACTTTATCATAATGTTAGAATAAAAATTCCAAATGTGAAGAATTTAAACAACAGTTTTATTATTGAAGATTTCATTTTTTTTGTTTTGTTTTTTTTTTGCAATTTTATAACATTTTTATTTTAACTTTTTTATGATTTTGTCTTGTATTTTCTTAGGCATGTTACGATGTGGATGAATGTAAAACCAACAATGGAAGGTGTGCAACAAATTCTCGCTGCATTAATACAATGGTAACGTATATTTCTTGAAAAAGTAATTTTTAAATTAATGTAAAATATCTCTTTAAAGCTGTTATATTAATTGTTACTAAAAATGCGGCATTGAGTAATTTATAGCATCATTGAATAAATAATACATAATATCAAGTAGCACAAGTATAATTAAATAAAATCGAAAGGAAATAGAAATGTACGGTTACATGTGTTGATCGATGTTGCAATTAAATCGTAACAAATGCCACATTAATTAATCTTTATTTAAGCAGCATTGATTAATTAATACATAATACCAAGTTACGCAAAAATGGCCGACATTTCGAAAAATTGAAGAAAATCGATCGAAGATAGAAGTGTATGGTTATATAAGTAGATCGATGCTGCAATTCACTCGTAACAAATGTCACGTTAATCAATTTTTACTTAATCGTAAATGATTAATTAATGCATGCCAAGTGACATAAAAATGAGCGACATTTTGAAAAATTAAATAAAATCGAAAGCAGGCGTAACATGTACGTTTATAGGACTTAATAGATATTGTAATTCAGTCCGAGGAAATTTTGCATTAACTAATTCTTTCTTGAACGTCATTGATTAATTAATACATTGTTAACATCCTTCCGAAAAGTGACTGAAATTTTTAAAAATCAATTAAAAAAATGAAAAGGATAGAAACGCAAGATTATCAGTGTTAATTGATGCTGAAAATCAATCGCAATAAGTGTCGTAAGATTAATTTTTGCTTGAGCATCGTTGATTAATTCAAAAATAATACAAGGTTCTTAAAGATGCTGGACTTTCAGAATAATAAGTTTAAAAAAAATAAAGGATGAAAGAAATGTAAATTTGCTGAGTTCTTCCCAGAAAACAAATTTTTATTCTCGCCAAGCTTTATACGCTTTGAACAGACGTCTGTTAATTTTCAAATTGTCTCAAATTGTCTTTATAGGGTTTTAACTAAATTAATTAATATACAATAATTATTTACAATTCTATACAATAATTGAAATAATTAAATGAAGTAATTAATATACAATGTGGTCAGTATTGCTCACTGACCATCTTTACATCCCAACAAACTGATTCCCATCGTTATAGTATCTCTCGATTCGCAACCAAATTCCTTCAAAGGTCAAAACAATCTTAAAACATATTAGAATGCTGTTAAAACATATTAGAATACATGCTGTTAACTTATAGGAAAATGTGATAAAAATTATAGAAGTTGTAAAATCCTTAAAAATAAAACCGCATTAAGAAAAATATTTAAATTTTGTTAATGCATGTAGGAAGCTCATAAATGGAATATGATAATTATTTCTATGAATTTCAGAACGTAATCGTTTGGTCTTTGCAAAGAAAAGACATTTTTTTAACAAACCCCTGTCAAAATCTAGTTCAAGAAAACAGATTTTTTTTCTTCCTCAAATTACAAAGATTAAGAACTTAATTTTAATGCGAAATATAGCATTTTTATTCCATTATGAAAGATTAAATGATGAAGAGAAATTGTTGAAATAATCTTAAGGTGATGTGTTTACGCTTATTTAACTTCACAAAAAACTTCTGTCAACTGAAAAGAAAGTATATTTCGTTAATTTATCTTAAGAAAATTCCACTCCAATAACAAGTTTTCTTTTTAAACTAAGCCATTACACTCTACCGAATAAAAAAGAATCGTTACGTTTCACGCCATATCATTTTTTATAAGTAATTTATCATTTTTTTGTTATTTTATTGGATTAAAAAGTTTAGTACGTAAAAAAAGTAACATTTAAAAACGTTAATAGTTTTTTTGTAAATACAAAATAGTGCCAGAAATAATTTATTTTCTCATTTGAAGCTTTTGTTAGAAATAACAATGCATAAATGCTAAACGAAGCGATGCAATCTCTCAAATAAAAATGCTGTCCTTTTCAAAATTTTCGGTTCCCAGCGAAAAGTTTACAGCGTTTGAAAGCAACAATAAGATTATCTCAGAAGCAATGCCTTAAAGGGTTTTTAGAAGAAACTTCTATCCCATTATCGCCAAGGAAAAAATATTCATTGTTGTAAAAATTCGCATCCTGCAAGATCCTCCAAGAACAAGAGAATAAAAAAAGAAAAACTCGCCAAATACGGTGTTAGGAGACTTGTATGCTTTGTAATAATAGTTTTTGGTTTTATTTTTGGAAAATTTAATACGTAATGCTTTGTGAAATTTTATATCTCTTTTTTGCTATATTCATCGTATATAAAGTGAATTTAAACTATTTTTGATTTTTAAGAACATGATGTTAGTTTAACAAAGCGTTATTTTCAAATCTCTTTTTCTTTTGCCGGCAATTTAAAATTTTTACGTTAAGTTTTAATCACGCAACTAAAAGTTTTTTTTAAAGCAAATTTAACTATTTTGATTTTTGAGACTATGAGGTTGGGATTTAACAAAGCAATAATATAGACCGAAGTCAACAGAATGTCAACAATCACATAGTCGCTTTGTTGGATGTCTGAAATATTTGTTATATCCGATTTTACATTAATTTATTCATTGATAATATCATATTTGTTCGATATTTTAATATCTGTTCAGAGTACCGGCTAAATGTATACCGGGTAGTGGCCCATAACTAGTCCTAGTATATATTTCGGACATTTACCAAAGCGACTATGTGATTGTCAACATTCACCAATGGAAGTCAACAACCACCTATTTCGATCATTAACAATAACATATATATTACACGGTGACAAAGAAAGTCCAAATCGCTTTTTCGCGTTAGCAACAGAGAAATGAAATGTAAAGCGTATGCTTTTATTGTTTTTTAAAAACATAATTATTGTTTTGTTTCTGCAAGTTTTTTCAATTTAACTTCCTTACAGTTAGGACATTTTACAGCTTTACAGTAACAAAGTTCTTTAAATCATAACTGTGTTTTTAACAAAGTCTTTAATAGTAAATGTGTTTTAAAAGCAAAATTATTGTTTTGTTCCTACAAGTTTTTCAATAACATGTTATTTATTTCAATTTAACTTCTTTATAGTAAAAATAGTAGGCAACTTTATAGTTAAAGCTCAAAGTTCTGAAATTTATAACTGTGTTTTTAATAAAGCAGTGTATCTTTAACGGTAAATGTGTTTTAAAAGCAAAGTTATTGTTTTGTTTCAGCAAGTTTTTCCATAACATGTTATTTATTTCAATTTAACTTCCTTATAGTTAAGACATTTGACAGCTTTGCAGTGACAAAGTTCTTTAAATCATAACTGTTTTCTTTTAACAAAGTAGTGTATCTTTAACGGTAAATGTGTTTTAAAAGCAAAGTTATTGTTTTGTTTCAGCAAGTTTTTCCATAACATGTCATTTATTTCAATTTAACTTCCTTATAGTTAAGACATTTGACAGCTTTACATTGACAAAGTTTTTTAAAACATAAGTGTTTTTTTAACAAAGTAGTGTATCTTTAGTGGTAAATGTTTTTTTCAAAAGCATAATTATTGTTTTGTTTCTGCAAGTTTTTCTATTGCATGTCAGTTATTTCAATTTAAAAATTATTCTTTTTCAATAACTTATTATTGACTATTAATTTTATTAAAGTGGAATTAGTTTTAAGGATTTTAAAAACTGATTTCAATTTAGATTTCTCGATCAAACACATTTTAAATGGGTTTTACTTAGTAAAGAGTGAAGAGAGCTTGGTTAGCGCAACAAAACGTATAAGATTGTTTGGCAATCTTTGTGGGTTGGGAAGCGTCAGAGAACAGTACATGGAACACACAAGGTTTTTTTTAATAAAAATTATTAATATATTTTTATAACAATCTCTAATTCTGCGAAATTAGAAATTTATTAAAATCATTAAAAATTTATGAAATTTTTACAAATTTTTATGATTTCAAACAGTGCATTGGATAAGTAACTTTTTACTTAGATTAGCTCATAGTAAACGAATAGAGAGCAATGGCTAAACACATACAAAACAACTTAACCAAGAATACTTGTTGAAATCTCACAAAAATATATTATGCACACCATAACATTATCTCAATTAGCTACAAAAAACTAATCTAGTGATGATTCATAGTTTAGATGGGAGTAAGAGGCATATCACCCGATCTTTGCCCTCCGCTCCCCAACCTAACTACATTTGTAAAATATCAATCAAACAGTTCTTGAAACAACACATTAAAAATAACTTTAATAAATTACCTCGTTTAAACATCGAAATCATTATTTTAATCCATTTAAATTTCAATATTTATCTCTCCAATTCAACTGTTAAAACTATCAAATATCAGCAATTGTCGATTGAGAATTAAATCTATCCCACGATTACATAACCTTTAAGTATTCTATAAGTATCTACCTCACGAAATTCAATTAAGTTAATTATGTCACGTGCATTTGTGAAACTTGGATGTCATGACGACCCCCGAGGCACCTATTGGCGAAGTATTATAAGATACATGGTGAAATATTCACTCATTTCCTAAAATACGCACCTGAATTGCGTGAACTACGAATATTTTCAGGTCAAACAAATAAGGTCAAACACATATATTTTTAAATTTCTCTTCAGTAAACATTTCGTTCAGAGAACTACAAGAAAACTTTTGTCTTATCTTTTCGGAAACATCAGTTATCATATCAATGATTTCTGTTAAGCTGAAATATTATGACAACTAAACAAATAAAACAACGATGTTAAACAAAAAATAATAAATGAGCAAATTTTCCCAAAACCGATGCTTTATAATTTAGAAAATAAAACATAACGTTATGGATTCTCGTATAACTGAATTTTAAAGTCTATCTATACACATTTCTAAATTATGCACATACATAATGAGTTATAGATTAAAAGGATAAAAAAATATTCCTGTTATTTTCCGATTGGACACCTAATTGGTGTGGTGGTTTCAACTTTCGCTCAAGATTTGATCCCCCTTTCGGGGTGTCTAAGGTTCGGGGTTTGATTCCTCACGTTAAGGGCTGGGTTTGTCTGATTATTCAATGAGAGAAACCCAAAATTTACTCTTATTTCAACGAGCACAAACATTACCATCGTTTTGTGAAGCGCAACCCTCTGCTCTTGTTATTGCGGGTGTGCCTTATGTGAAGTCCTTGATGGTTTGGTAGCATGATGCGGATGTTAGGGGATTATTACTACCATCTGTTCCCCGATATAAATTGTTATATTGAAGTGTACGCATGAGCTAGTACTGTCCTTGAATCGCCATCAAGTAGAATTCCCAAAAGTTTACTTATAGCCTATCATTGTAAAGTGCAGATATAGTGCAAAATTAAACTCCAAACCAATCATTTTGTAATTAATTTTGATGCTTTCACAGAACCATAAACTATTTAATCTGTAATGTGTGCGTGTTCTTAATTTGTAAAGCAACATTAACCCGTGATGTTCGTTAAGCAATTTTTGCCTTTTCAATCGTTTAACAATTTTTTTATATGTACGAAAAAAGTTCCTTTTTTCAGTTTTAAGCTATGTTCCATCTATACATTCGGCGGTGCATTCGATTTTGAAAGGTTGCTAAAAAACTTTCAAAATCCGTGCACAAATATTTTCAATTATAACGTTGTTAAAAGTGCTATGTTATATCTATCTATCTATCTATCTATCTATCTATCTATCTATCTATCCATCTATTCATCTATCCATCTATCCATCTATCCATCTATCCATCTATCCATCTATCCATCTATCCATCTATCCATCTATCCATCTATCCATCTATCT